AGTAGAGGTCAGCTAACAATCCATATGAGAACTCACACAGGTGAGAAGCCGTTCTCTTGTAAAACCTGCGGAAAAGGTTTCAGTCAAGGAGGTCATTTGAAAGTCCACATGAGAATTCACACAGGTGAGAAGCCGTACTCTTGTGAAACCTGCGGACAAGGTTTCAGTCAAAGAGGTTCTTTGAAAATCCACATGAGAACTCACACAGGTGAGAAGCCGTACTCTTGTGAAACCTGCGGAAAAGGTTTCAGTCAAGGAGATAGTTTGAAAGTCCACATGAGAACCCACACAGGTGAGAAGCCGTATGTTTGTAACACATGTGGAAAAAGATTTTTTGACCTATCGGCACATAAAAGGCACACAGCAATCCACAAAGAGGAAAAGCCATATTCTTGTGGAACATGTGGGAAAAGTTTTCGTCATCGGGATAACTTAGTGATTCACATGAGAACTCACACAGGTGAGAAGCCGTACTCTTGTGAAACCTGCGGGAAAGGTTTCAGTCAAAGAAGTTATTTGAAAGTCCACATGAGAATTCACACAGGTGAGAAGCCGTACGTTTGTAACACATGTGGGAAACATTTCTGTCGTCAGAGTAACTTGGTGTTTCACTTGAGAACTCACACAAATGAGATGCTGTACTCTTGTGAAACCTGCGGAAAAAGTTTCAGTGATGCAGGTGGTTTGAAAGTCCACATGAGAACTCACACAGGTGAGAAGCCGTACTCTTGTAAAACCTGCAGAAAAAGTTTCACTGAAGCAGGTAGTTTGAAAGTCCACATGAGAACTCACACAGGTGAGAAGCCGTAGTCTTGTAAGACCTGCGGAAAAAGTTTTTCTGAAACATCAGCACATAAAAGGCACACAGCAATCCACAAAGAGGAAAAGCCATATTCTTGCAAAACTTGCGGAAAAAGTTTTAGTGATGGAAGTAGTTTGAAAGTCCACGAGAACTCACACAGGTGAGAAACCGTCACTCTGAAACATCTGGGGAAGAAATAACTTGAACAGGTTAAAAGTTTTACAGCAGCTTCAGACTGTGCTTCAACAATAATTGTGAGGAAATATGTCAGCAGTCCTTGATGATCAGACCAGATGGAGTCTGGACTGTGGTGGTGGTGGTGGAGCCACAAGAAGATCCAGCCTGAACATCTGGATCAATGTAGTATTGGTACAGGCTGCTGTATTTTTGGTATCATACTTCATCCTTCATCAGCGTAGCAGTGATGTGAGATATTGTGAAGCTCTTTGGAACATTTTCACATCCTGCTGGAAGAACATGGCTGATCATGTGTGAACATACTGCTGGAGTCCAAGCAGCTCGAGTGCTGCTGTCTTTAAAGTAAAAGGATGCAAAGAAATACTGAGGCGTTATGACAGTAGGACACAGCAGAGTGTGTCATTGCAAGAGAAGACTGTGTGATTCATGTGTGATTTAAAATGTGATCTCCACAGGCTGTGATGCTGTACAGGTCAAACTGTGTGAAAACTTCAGCCATATGTCATGAATTTAATCTGTCATCTGTTTGTTCCTCATCAGTGATTTATTTCTTGATGCATTATTGGAAATGCTAAACTTGTTTTAAACTCCATATTGATTGTAAATAAACTTCAAAAACTGTCTGCAGCTTCATGAGCGAAAATAAAGATAAGTTACACTTCCAGTTAACTCCTTCAAAATAAACTCCAGTAACCCGATCTTACAGTTAATGACAGTATTAGAACGTGATTTGTGGAAATACAGTGAAACCGAGCTGTAATTTGTGCTATTTAGCTTCTGACCTAACTCTGACGACTAACTATGACAATGTGATTTACTCTGACTTGAAGTGCAACAATAAAATGATCTTATCGACACAAGAGCACACATCATGCTCATAATTCAGGTTTTCTGTAGCTTCATTTCGCTGTTGCAAACAAACATAAGGTAACTGCTGTTTTGAATGAAACTGTAATTGCCAACAGTTAGCTTCTCCACTTGCTCTGTTAATTAGGGTCCGAGCACCCAAAGAGGGTGCGAAGACCCTATTGGAACTGCTCGACTTTTTATTATTATTCCATCAAAAGAAACGCGTTTTTGAGGTACACAACGTACTCACAGACTCACCAAACTCGCCACACACATCAGACCCAGTGAAAAATTGTATAATTAGGGGGAAATGCTCACCTCAATAGCAAAATGGCTCAACAGCGCCCCCTACAAAATTACAAAAAATGGGCCCCCGAACACACTTTTCACGTACAGCTGCTGAAAATCAGACCTTTATGGCCGATTTTAAAAATTTACCTCCTCTAGGGGGTAAGTCGTACACACCTGAAATTTCGCCAGCACAAGCTACACGACGTGGTGATTAAAAGTTATCAAAACGCTCCACAGATGAGGCCCGGTTTGGAAATGGCGGCCCGTCCAATTTCGATCAATGGCCATTTTGGCCATATTTTTGGTGTTTTCGGCATTCAGCGGAGTCCCGTCGGGCGGGCGTTTCATCTACACCGACATCATTTGGTGGGTATGTGTAGCAACTCGGGACGCACAAAACAGTCATCAGCACCAAGCCCTAAACCCAACAAGAAATCCGCCATTTTGAAAGAATGGTCAGAATTTTGCGATTTTCGCTCATTTTTGGCCACTTTCAAAATCTATCTCCTCCTAGGGAGTAAGTCGTACACACCTGAAATTTGGCCAGCACAAACTACATGACGTGGTGATTAAAAGTTATTAACACGCTCCGCAAAAGTCTGATGGTTTGGAAATGGCGGCCCGGGAAATTTGCATCAATGGCCATTTTGCCCATTTTTTTTTGGTGTTTTTGGCATTCAACGGAGTCCCGTCGGAAGGCCGTTTCATCTACACCTACAACATTCGGTGTGTATGTGTAGCAGGTCGGAACGCACAAAAAAGTCAATTGGGGCCAAGCCCACAGGAAGTCAGCCATTTTGAAAAAAATGCCGGCTCATCGCTGAAAATCGGCCATTTATGGCATTTATACATGTGTACACCGACTGGGTCAGTCGCACTCCAGCGAGAAGCGAGGACCAATGCCGCGTCATGTAGTTTGTGCTGGCCAAATTTCAGGTGTGTACGACTTACCCCCTAGGAGGAGATAGATTTTGAAAATGGCCAAAAATGAGCGAAAATCGCAAAATGCCTGTCCGACGGGACTCCACTCCGTTGAATGCCGAAAACACCAAAAACATGGCCAAAATGGCCATTGATCGAAATTGGACGGGCCGCCATTTCCAAACCGGGCCTCATCTGTGGAGCATTTTGATAACTTTTAATCACCACGTCGTGTAGTTTGTGCTGGCCAAATTTCAGGTGTGTACGACTTACCCCCTAGAGGAGGTAAATCTTTAAAATCGGCCATAAAGGGCCAATTTTCCGCGGCGAGCCGCCATTTTTTTCAAAATGGCCGACTTCTGGTTGAGTTTCAGGTATGTGTTCTTGAGGCTTTTTTGTGTATCTTGAGTTGTTACGTGTGTGCCGAATTTCGTGTCTGTACGTGAAAGTGTGTTCGGGGGCCCATTTTTTGTAATTTTGTAGGAGGCGCTGTTGAGCCATTTTCCTATGAGTTGAGCCTTTTTCGCCGGGTCTAATGTGTGTGGCGAGTTTGGTGAGTCTGTGAGTACGTTGTGTACCTCAAAAACGCGTTTCTTTTGATGGAATAATAATAAAAAGTCGAGCTGTTCCAATAGGGTCTTCGCACCCTCTTTGGGTGCTCGCACCCTAATTATTCCTGGCAAGAGCGGCGCATGGACCACGAAGCTCTGGAGGGAAACAAACATCAACAATCATAAACACCCTTTATTACAAAAAATATTAAAATATACACCCATTAAAATATGAAAATTGACAAACTCTAAAATATACGGTTTGTTAGTTGTCTACTTCCCTATCAACTACTGCCTTCAAAACAGTAGTGAAGCAGATCTGAACTGAATAAAAACAGTAAAATGTACTGTGTGCTAAACATGACATCATTAAAAAACAATGAAACACAAAAGAACAGAATTTGTACAGAGGATGGTGACTGCATCCAACTGGATGTTACACCAAATCCTGACATTTCAGCTCAAGTTTAACTCTAGAGATCCATCATTTTATTGAGGCTAATGCTGAAACATTAGTAAGTGCGAAAACATGAACAACGCCCTTTATGAATGAAAATAGGTTTGCCCTATTTGTACAGCGCAAACATGGATGTGTAAATTGTGTTGCCACTACTTTAATTATTACTTCTTTTGGAACTTTTTAAGTTCACATCTGGTGATCTGTTCAGCCGTGGCTCCATTGTTTACACTCAGTGTTATAATCTCGGAGCAATAATGCACTCACACTTGGTAACAGTTTCA